TGTTCATCTTACAGAAGAGAAAACTGAGCCACAAGCAGATCAAGTGACTTTCCATAGGTAATAAATTAATAAGAATAAGGAGCAGAACTAAAATTCAAGTCCTCATTCTCTCACCCCTAATCTAATGCTCTTTCTAATACTCTACAGTAGAACTTGGTCAATCTTCCAGCAACTGATTTGAATGGGTCTATTTTTGCGTCCTCGTATGGCTGACACCCTTTTGTCAGTTTTCCATGCCCGTTTTGGATGTGGGTATGGACTATTCCCCTCCAGGGACATTCCTGATCCCTGTACTGAATGCTTAGTTCCCCTATTTTATTACCAGAATTAGTTTATTTTGACAGCTTAGCAAGAACTGTTCTGCTTTTTATTCTTAGCTATAATAGGGAAATATGTTTTTCTCTTACAAATAGAAGAGATAGTCTGAAGAAGAGATATTCCTCAGAATCATCACAATGTAGTCATCTAACTAGATTTGGACTCTGCAAACAACAGGCCATTTCTACAATTTAATAATCCTATTATTCTATGATTTTTTACTTTGGGGAAATTACCAGGGTATCAAAAGCAAGACCAACAAAGGTCAGTTCAAAATTATGCCTGGCTGAACTTCCAAATATGATTTGTGAAAAATCACGTTTTAAAGATAAGGAGCAATTGGTTCCTAGCTTACCATCCATTCATCTTGAGCCTCTTTACAATAACAGATGTCAAAACATTACAAGTCAAATTTCTTTAGGATGAACATCTAAGTCCTAGCCAATGGCCACTCACTTTGAGTTGATGATTCACTAAGTGGCAGTTTGGCATAAACAGACTGAACAGTGGAGCTGGAGTCAGGAGATCAGAGTTCAGATCCTTGTTCTGGCATTTTCTAGCTATGTGGCCACATATCCTGGGTTTTCTGGTCTATAAAATGGGGATAACACATTTCCTATTGTACAGGGTTGATGTGAAGAAAGTACTTTGTAAACCTTGAAGTACTGTAAAAATGTGAAAGATAAAGTCATTTGAAAGGCAGCATGCACAGTATAGTAGATGGAAAGCTAACTTTGGTTCAGGCCTTGCCTCTGACTCATATTAGTCAAGTGACCTTGGGAAAATCATTTGACTTCTAAGGTCTTTAGGTATCTTTTTAATACTGTTGTAGAGCAGGTGCTAATCTTCACTGATAGAGGAAGTTCCTTCCCAGGAATTCCCTACACAGAACTAATAAAAAAAAAAAATTACTCAACAACCATGTAATAAGTGCCTGCTTATTAGGCTTTGTGGGAGATACAGTGGTAATTAAGGCACAGGCCCTATTTCATAGAGCCTAGAGAAGAAGCAAAGGGTACAACATATGGATTATAGTATACAACAGCTACCCCGAAGAATAGAATATAAAAGAGGTACAGAGTGCTATACAAAATTAGAAGAAGGAAAAATTATAACCTACTGAAGGGATCAGTAAAAGCTTCATGGATGAGTTGGCCTTTGAGGTGGGCCTAAAAGTGTGAATAAAACTTTAAAAGGCAGTGAGAGAAATGATTATTGATAACCAATGATTTGAGGAGATCCAGAGTCCCTCCCCGCCCCCCTTTTTCTAAAGCCTTGATTTTAAAAGTCCAGTCTGTTGAAGAACATTACTGATAATGTGATCGGCTTCAGACCTCACCCACGTGGGGAAGCCATTATGCTCTACTCAGGTTTGTGTAGGGATAAATTCTTTTAATAGATTGACCAAGATTGACCAATTCTTTTAATAGATTGGGGGTAACTTAGAAATAAATGACATAATTAAAGTTCATTAGAATAGGTTCAGCCTCTCATTGTTAAAACCAGAGTTTATTGACACCCTCAGGAACACTCCTCTTCCAAAGGACATATAAGCCATAAGCCTGCTGCCATGACTGTCTTTGGTCTAAGAAAGAGACAGCCAAATGACCATCCTTTTATTAATAAACATGCTGATGTTATTAATAAAATTATTAAATTACCCAGAAATTCTGTCTCCTGAACTTTTTAAACATCACAGCAGAGATAGCCAGGAAGGCACAAGACATGACACGGTGTGAGCAAAGGCATGGTAGCAGAAAAGTACTTGGAAGTATATGTACATAAGTAGTCTCAGCTTGATTGGCATAGAGAGAGCACTTGTAATGGAGAATAATGTGTTCTGTAACTATTTTCTCAAAAAAAAAATTTTGGGGTAATATGGGCAAGGGAGCCTCAAACAAGTTCTGTGGATCAGACATGATCATCATCTCTGAAAGGTCCTCTCATACTCAGTCCTTACTGGAATACTGATCCTTGGCCATATAGGGATGTAATCAAATGCTGCCATAAGTCAGCAGATACACACAATGAAGGGACATAAAAATGTATACATTATCCCTTGAGCACTTCCTTGTTGGTTTGGTCACTGGGGAAGAGATTAACCCCTACTAGAGAAGTTTCTCCTCAATTAGTACAGAAAATGCAGCAGGGCCCTTCTTATATACTTTGGCCCACCTTGGCACTCTCCTCTGCTAAAAATCCAATCTAAACAAAGTCCCAAACATTAGCCAGACTAACTAAATCTACTATGGTGTCACTAGTTACAGCTCTTTCTCCTCTTTAAAAATCTTCATTAATACAGGTTCCTACATACTACAGGAGTTGACACAATACAGCCCAGCTACAGTGGTTTTGCTGCTATTTGTCACCTCAATGCTAAATCAGCAAGATGCTCTCAGGTTCACTGTTGATCATGATGACCACTTATGTGATCATTTATCTGGTAACTTTTAGAAGTAGGAGATAAGATTTAATAGATAAGAAGGTATCAGCTTGTGGGAGATCTTGAATGCCAAGAAGACAAGTCTGCACTCTATTTGGAGTCACTTATAAGAGTTTTGAGTAGAGGAGTGGAATGATGAGATCTATATATACTACAAAAAATTTATGATTTTGTCAGTACACTCCCTCACAGTCTCTCTATGCCTTAATAAATGGCTTATTAAGTTGTTGCAATCTGAGAATTTCTGAGAATTCCATTACCTGATGGCTAGTTATTGGCTTCCGAAGTGTGACTTCAAAAAGGGCCAAGGAATGGTCCATATGGTGTTTGCTGCCTGACAACTCCAGGAGAAATGCCAGGAGCAGAACAGAGGTCTGTACAAAACATTTGTGGATCTGACCAAGGCCTCTGATACTGTCAGTCGTGAGGGAGGGCTTACGGAAGATTATGTCAAAATTTGGTTGCGTGGAGAAGTTCATCAGCATTGTACATCAATTTCATGATGGCATGCTTGCCCAGGTTCTGGATAATGGACAATGCTCTTGTGCTTTCCCAGTCACCAGTGGAGTGAAACAAGGTTGTATGCTTACTCCCATGCTTTTTAGCATGTTGTTTTCAGCCATGTTGTCAAACACTTTTAATGAGGATGAATATGGCATCAAGGTCAGCTGCTGCACTGATGGTAAATTCTTCAACCTGAGAAGACTACAAGCCAAGACCAAAGTGGAAGGAGTGTTGGTGCATGATATCCTGTTTGCAGATGATTATGCACTCGATGCAGCCTCTGAAGCTGAGATGCAACAAAGTATGGATCAATTCTCTGCTGTTTGCGCTAATTTTGGCCTAACAATTAACACCAAGAAAACACAGGTGCTTCATCAGTTACCATCACATCATCTATATGTGGAACTATTGGTTACAGCAAATGGAGAAGTTTTGAACGCTGTTGATAAGTTTACTTACCTTGGTAGTGTACTTTCCAGGGATGTTCATATTGATAATGAAGTTGACACACTCAATGCCAGAGCTAGCTGTATTTGGAAGGCTCCTAAGGAAAGTATGGGAGAAAAGAGGTACTGGACTGACTACCAAACTGAAGGTCCTCAGAGCCGCTGTGCTGACCTCATTGTTATTTGATTGTGAAACCTGGACAGTATACCAGCACCATGCCAGAAAACTGAATTGCTTCCATTTGAATTGTCTCAGGAAGATTCTAAAGACCACCTGGCTAGATAAGATACCAGACACTGAGGTCCTTTCTCAAACTAAACTACTAAGCATTCAAACTCTGCTTCAGAGAGCACAACTCTGATGGGCTGGACACATTGTTCAAATGTAAAACATAGGCTTGCCAAAAAGACAGTTTTATGGAGAACTCACACAGGGCAAGCATTCACATGGTGGTCAGAAGAAGTGATGTATAGCATCCAAATTCTTAGAGGGAAGTTCAGGGATTTACAGGAAGAAATTGAGAGCAAAACTATACTAGTGGGGGACCTCAACCTCTCCCTCTCTGAACTAGATAAATCCAACCACAAAATAAACAAGAAAGAAGTTAAGGAAGTGAACAGAATTTTGTAAAAGTCAGATATAGTAGACTTCTGGAGAAAACTGACTGGGGACAGAAAAGAATATACCTTTTTCTCAGTGGTACATAGCACCTACACAAAAAATTGACTATGTACTATGGCATTAAAAACCTCACAATCCAATGCAGATAGGTAGAAATATTAAATGCATCCATGAGCAAAGCAGAATTGAAACAGCTCAAGAGAAACACAAACTTAGAGAATCCACTCCAAAGGTTCACACAGACTATTTGTGCCCGACCTGGGGTAGAACATTCTGAGCTCCTATTAGTCTGATTAGCCACAGTCAGACAGCCTAAAACTTGACTCTAGCATAGTGATGTCATTTTGTTCTTCAAAAATGAAGGACAACCGCCACTCATTGGTTGATGAGCCTCTCCAAACTTAGCAAGGCTTAGGCTGGTCCTTGGATAAGGCCATCACTGAAGTCATACTCAAAGCTTGGCAGGCTTTACTGAAGCTCAAATTCTGCTGGCACAGGCTTACAACAGTCCAAGATAATTTCCGTTCTATTATGGAACTTCAGAGGAAGACTTGTGGAAGAGATTTGTGTATCTGGAATATTAATTCGGCAGCAGAACGGAGTCTAAACTGGAGGACATAGAAACTGAACACAAGGAAATACAATAAAATTAAAGAACAGGCATTACCTTATAGTAGGGTTCACTATATCAGAATTTAATCTGGAGTAGAATTTTTTTCTTCTGATGATCACTATTCATCCAGAAGTAGGCCAAAGTCACCAATTTCTTTCCTGTCATAGAATCAAAAAGACTATTACAATAGTTAATTTGATTACAAATAAATAAACAAACAAAATAGCCTTAGGCATCCTTCAAAGGTATCTTACTTTAAGCAACACTAATACATGAGAATCCACATTAACAGAAAAGATAAACTGGGAATTATTATTCACTTAAAAGGGTAACTTTTTATACAAAAGAATTTTCAGAAGGATTCTTTTGGATAGTGAGTTCCATCAGGCATCATCACGCCTGTAATCCCTGCTACTGGGAAGGCTGAGGCTGGTGAATCACTTGAGTTTAAGAGTTTTGAGCTGAAGTACGGATAAAACCAATCAGGTTCCTCATTAAGTCTAGCTCCAGTGTGATAAGCCTCAGGAGCAGGGATCATTAGGCCGTCAAATAAGGGGAAAACTAGCTCAGGTCAGAAGTAGAACAGGTCAAAACTTCTATGCTGATCAGTAGTGACTGGCTCATGGATGACCACTGAATTTCCATCCATAGTAAGATAGGAAAACACAGTCTCAAAAAAAAAAGCCTTACTTGTACATGTATAACATAAAATCATGATTCAATTTATTAGTATTTCATGAACACAGATCACATCAGAGAAAAGTACCACTGAGAAACAAAGTGGGGAAAGTGCTTAGACTGGTAGCTAGATCTGAATTTTACTTAAGGCTCTTTTATTAACTAGTTACATTATGTACGGTGAGTCATTTTCCTTCTCTATACCTGTTTCTTCATTTACCAAAAAGGAATTGATTTGGATTAACCTCTAAGATCTCTTCCAGTTCCAGAGTCCTAAGAGTAACTTGCTGAACTGTGAGATACTGCTTAAAGAGACTGCATCAATACTTACAAAAAATTCATTTTTATTTAAGGTTATTAAGGCAAACTCCCTCCCAAATTGTTTCTTTTTACTTTAAGCTATTCTGTTCTCTTTTCCTAAGACAAGTTTTGGTAAATTCCTAGCTAAAAGAGATAGTATTCATTTTGAAGTTTGTTTCAACTATTTCATCTGTATAATGAAGTGTATGGAGTAGATGATCTCCATGGTCCCTTCTTACTCCACCACTGTATGACTTTATGGCTCTGATAATTAAGCTTTCTTAATTATTGATAAATTCAGGAGAAAAAAAAATCATCATATCCAGAGAGAGTCTAATCCACGCCTTCCATAGGCAAAAATGATTTGGGGACAATTAACTATCCTAGAGGAAAGAACTCCACCCCATAGAGAAATAGGTCATGGTTTAAGTCTTGGACAAAGAGAATAAACAGGATGCCCTGTGGAGTTAAGCCAAAGCTCAAAAGGTAAACAAATCTAAGGTCTGGGAAACAGATAGGAAAAGAAGTTCATAGCCTTGGCCCCGAGCTGGAGAAGTCTGCATGTAGCTAGGGAGAACATCTTAAAAAGAGAAGTGGCAGGCATCACCAAGATGCCTATTTGTATCATGAACTTCTCTGCTCATTTAAAAAAATATATTTTATTTTTTCCCAATTAAATATAAATTATATTACCTAATTTACATGTAAAAATAATTTTTAACATTCTTTTTTTCAAAGTTTTGAGTTCCAAATTCTATCCTTCCTTCCCTCCCTTCCCCTCTCCCTGAAATGGTAAGCAATCTGACACAGGTTATAGGTGTTCTTCCCATTTTTTAAAAAATGGCATTGGTATGCTAGCCACACCAGCTCTTTTATCTGCTATAGTGCCATCACCATGGTTTGTAACGTGACATAAATTCTCCCAAAATATCATTATTTATTTTGTGGGAGATGTAAGACCCATAGGATTTCAAACACTATCCTGAGTTGAAAAATGTGTTTTCTGTTTCAGAGAAGGTCAGATATTACTTTACAGCACCATTCCAGAGGGTACAGAGATTTTTTAGTGACACAGGAAAAGCCGAACAGGATCCACCCAGTGTTTACATGCTATATGGCTGGGTTTTAATGACCCCTTGAGATTTTCCAAAAGTCTTAGTCCTTACCAAACGTCTCTTTTGGATAATTCTGAGAAAGAGAAAGAAAAGTTGGAAAATAAGAAAATATGTCTGGGAACATACGAACCATATAATTTCACTAAGATTTAGGAATTCCAAAAATACTTATTGATATCAATGGAGCTTGAGTTCTAGCATTTTCTTGTGAGGACCTAAAAGTCCCCTTCCTCTACTAACTTTTTCTTTAAACCCAAAAGATAAAATGAAAGGTTGAGTGGGGAGATTAAGAGTAGAAACTATATATACATTCATAAAATCCTTTCCTTCTACCTTTAGCAAACTGCTAGAGCAAAAAGCATACCAGATCTGGAGTCAGGGCTGGGGGTAGAGGAGTGGGTTCAATGTTAGCCTTGGTACTTATTACCTGTGTGATTCTGACCAAGCCACCTCCCTTTTTTGGACCTCAGCTTCCTGTGTATACCTCCCCACTTTCTACATATTTTCATTCCATCTTCTAAGCCTTTAAGACTATAAATAAGTTGGCTACAGAATAGAAATTTTAACACAAGGAAAGAGGAAATCTATAGCCTTTAGTAACCTTCCATCTGGCATTTTTTGTACACATGCTATATAAAGGCCAGGGATTCATTTTGATAAGACAATGAACAGAGACTTAGAAGTAAGCAAAACATTTGCCTTTTTTTTCCCCTAGGATTTTCTGATTTTTTTTCCTTTATAATCACAGCAGTGGTTATAATATAGTTATACAAAACTCAAAAAAATTGCTTCACTGTTTAAAATGGGCCTCATGCAATGAAGAACCATGGTGTATAAATCAATATTTTATATATGACCTGAATAAAAGTGTGCCTGTATACACAGATGGGTTATATGGCTAGGTTTTACATGACCTCCTTGAGACTTTCCAAAAGTCTTATCTTTATCCAGAGTCTCCTTTTGATAATTCCGAAAAAAAGAAAGAAAAGTTGAAAATTAAAAAAAAATATATCTGGGATCATATGGAACCATGTAATTTCACTAGATTAAGAAATTCCAAAACACTTATTAATCTCAAGGTAGCTCTAAGTTCTAGCATCTTCTTGCAGAGACCTGCAAATCCCTTTCTCTTGGGACCAGGATGACCAGCCAAGGTTGAAGATGACAGCTGGAGAATAAATAAAAATCCTGGTTTTAGTCTCTTCAGTTACGTTTGCTTCTTTATCATTAAAAAGGAATTAGAGTAAACACGAACATGCCTCTCGTGTGCTTCTGTAAACATGTGTCGTGTGAAAAATGTAATCTCTTTTTTCCTTTGGACATATGCTCTATTAGTCCAAACATAGGCTTTTCTGCCTTATCAGGTCTGCACAAAGCTTGAGTTTGGCCTATAATCAGTGTTATTTTTCAGTGTATACTTACAATTTTTTTCCCTTTTAAATAGGGCTCACTTTAGAGGTGTGGTCTGCATGCCTAATATACAGTTTTAAGCATGTCACTCCTCTGCTCAATAAATTTTAGTGGCTCACTATTGACTGTAGGATAAAATATAAACCGCTCAGTTTGATATTTATACTCTTTCACAATCTAGCTCTTTTAACTTTCTTTCTAAACTGCTTTCACATTACTCCCTCTCATTTACTCTACATTCTAAGGAAATTGGCTCCCTTGATGTCTATGCTACATGGCATCACAACTCCTACCTCCATGCCTTTGTATAGGATATCCTCCATACCTGAAATGGTCCCATTCCATCCTTTCTTTTGGAATGCCTAGATCCCTTTAAGGTTCAGCCATCTCCTACAAAAGGGCTTTACTAATTCCTCTACTTGTTACTGCATGTCTGCCCCTTCTTATATTACAAAAATACTCTGTATCGATTTTCTATATGTTTTATATTTGCATATTTGTATATACATTGTTTCACCCCAGTAGGAGCAAAGTATCATAGATCTAGGGCTAAAATGGACCTTCAAGGTCATCTAATCCAATTCTCTCTATTTACAGATGGGAAAACTAAGGCCAGAAGAAGTAAAGTGACTTGCCCATGGTCACACAGGTAAGTAGAAGAGCCAGGATTTGAACTCAGATCCCGTGACACCAAGTTCAAGACTCTCTTCATTGCGCCATGTTATAATGTAAGCTTCTTAGGGACCGTATCTGTCTTGCTTTTATTCTACCTATCTTGTTCCTTTTGGATAAGGTACACCCTTCTAACTCCCAACATAGTGCCATATATATAACTACTAAATGAAAATGAATTAACTTTAGACCAATATGGTCATTTCCACTGTCTACTCTGTGGGCTGATGAAAACTCTGGGATCAACTTTTGTCATAATAATGAAAAAAAGTTCCTTACTTTTATTAAGTCAGTCCTACTCACTGAGACTTGTCCAAAAGTTGTATGAACTTCAAGACTAGGACATTTGGCTACCTGTTAGGTAACCTGACTCTACAATTTTTTTTTTAGTGTAATTGAGTTTGCCTGTAGTCATAATAACAATACATATCTCTATAGTACTTTAACGTTTGGAAAGTAAACCTTTCCTCCTGACAACCTTCTGAGTCATGGCTGAAAATATTAATATTACTATTTTACAAAGGAGGAAACTGAAGCATTAGCTGACATTGACAACAGAGAAGTTGGCTGCTTTCTCAGGACATTCATCCAGGACATCACAAAAAGACTTCAATGACATGTCAAGACCTGATAATAACTACCCATTTCTAGTAATTCAAATGAAAACCAATTACACTGCTGGAAGAAATCTAGAAAGCACTGCCACTGTGGGAATGGATATAATGCAGTTGCACAAAATTCAAGAAAACTGTTTTACTCTTTTAAAGAGAGTTGCATGCAATAAAGTACCCTGGTGTGAATTTTTAATTCTTGAGCTAAAAACTGAAGACCTGAGGGTTAGGTTTCATGTCTGTTGCTGCTTGCTAGTTGACAAGAGCTTAAGAAGACAAATAAAGATTTGGGAAATAAAATGCTAGTTACTATGTTATAGGCACTGGGCTAAGTAATGGGGCTATAAATAAAGGCCAAAACATGATTCCTAT